ATATAAATCAGTTGAAGTGCTGTTGAAGTGGAGATTTGTGACATTTAAAGACATGTATTAACTGAAAGACACAAAAAAGGAAAGTATAATATGTACACATAAATGTGTATTTTGGATGTTTTCTTCCCACTAATCTGAAAGAAGACGTTACGGAAGCAAAATATAGCCCAAAAACAAAACCAATGATTTGGTAGAGTCTTTTTAAAAACATACCCATTTGATATTGAAATAAACTGTGTGGATGCAGGCATGCAGATATTTTTAAGTGGCTTTGAACATGGCTTATCTAATCACGAACTGTCTATTTTATACATTGCAAGTTCATTGCAAGACACAAAACCAATTTCATACTCCTATTAAACATTTCCCTGTGCAATCATTTTAGTTCGTTGTGACCATCTTGCCAAGGCTCCAGGGATGCCGTGGTGCGACATTCCTGTCTCAGCAGGCAAGAATGGAACGATGGTCTCTCTCAGGTCCTTTTAGGGAGGTTCTTTGAGCTGTCATCAAGTGTCAGATGTCAGAAGGTCAGCAGTGATCTGCAACTGAAATGACTGCAAATTATTGAGGTGTAACTTCCATCATCTTAAGTTACAGGACTTTTTTTCGGATTAATACTTCAGTCAAAGTTTGACAATTGCACTGAATTACAATAATATAAGAGTCACTGCAACCATTTATTTCCAATACTATAAAAAAAAAAAAGGGTTTTATGACGGTGACTTTTAAGACCAAGTAAATAAAATATAAGTAATAAATTAAATGTGTAAACACAATATGGCAATATGTTTAATGTACATGTCTATGGAGAACATAATGAGTTGCATTAGCACACTACAAAAAAAGTGATGTTCTTCATCAGTATTACTGTCTTGTTTTCCAGTGTAAATATCTAAATATTCTTATATCATAATAATACATGTTTGAGACGCTAAATGACACAAGAAGTCTTGTTTTATGAGAAAATGATCAAAATAGAGTACGTTTTTGATTTAAACAAGAACAAATATCTGCCATTGGGCTCAGAAAACAACTAAATTCAAAGGGTAAACAAGTTTTTATTTCCCACTGACAGACATTTGTTCTTGTTTTAAGCATTAACTTCTTTGATTTTGTTACATTTGCATCTCATTTACAAATTCATACTGATTTAAGGATGTTTAGATATTTATATTGGAAAACAAAAATACAGAGGATATTTTATTTTTTGCAATGCATGCAACATTTAATGCCATGACTTTATCAATTAAAAGAGTTTCTTTTCTGACTTAAGACCTTTTCAAGGCCTTAAAGTGTGGACAGGCAAATTAAGACTTTCTAAAACACAACAGGCAAAATTATTGTTTTTCATGCACTGGCCAATTTTGATATTTTGGGCCATTTTGCTTCCATAGCATGTCTTCTTTGTAGTGGAAAGAAAACATGCAAAATAGTAAAAGTTCGACAATTGTACTTGCAATTGTACTTAATTACAATAATAGCCAATGCTGTCTGCAAAAAAAAGTGTTACACACTAGATCTAAAACTTCTAATACTTCATTTATCTCAGGTCCGCCAGGTCTCTGCTGTGTGTCGTTCCTGATGTATCCATATTGAGTGGTGAGTGGAGATGGATGAGACAACCAATCACAGTGCCTTTATCCCTGATCCGATTGGACGGGCTGATCCACAGGAGTTCATATTCATTTACTTACACACCAGAGCACAGCGCCCCCTCTCAAGCAAACTGTACAACAGAGAGAACCGCAGACTCGGACTCGCTCATAGACACCATTCACCAAGAGTTCACACGGACGAACTTTCATCTATTTATGCAGAGCTGAGAACACACACACACACATGTCTGGTCAGCTATCCTTGTGGGGACTCTCCATAGGCGTAATGGTTTTTCTACTGTACAGACCGTATATTCTATTGCCCTACACCAACCCTACCCCTAAACCTACCCCTCACAGGAAACTTTCTGCATTTTTAGATTTTCAAAAAACTTCATTCTGTATGATTTATAAGCTTTTGTACCCGTGGGGACCACAATTTAGGTCCCCACCGTGACACGAGTCCCCATGAGTCTGTGTGTAGTCAGGTTTAAGTCCCCACCAGGATATATAAACCAGTACACACACACACACACACACACGCACACACACAAATATTCATGTCAGATTATGTCCAGTCCTGGCTCACATTCTAGTCTTGTTAACACTTACACTAACAAGGAAAACTCTCGCAGCATGCAATCACATAGAGCTTTAGGGAGCTTACGCACTAGAGACAGCTCTGACGGGGCGTTTGACATGTAGGAATGCACAAGATCTGTGTATTAGCGCTGTGGAAAGAACTGGGTCGGTCTGCAATAAAGATGGGATACAGTTCATTGGATTCATGAAACTGGACCTGCCTCTGTGAAGTTCTCATTGGTCACTAGATGCTCATGTCAGAGGTTGTTGCAGCAAACATTTAAATTCTAACTGAGCATCATTTATAATAAACACTTTTATTTTCTACTGCCTTGCTGTGCAACATCCACATTAAAATTAATGGATTCACAGCATAAACTAGTGTATAAATGTGTAAGAATACATTTTTTAGAAATGAATATTTTTATTCAGCAAGGATGCATTAAATTGGTCTAAAGTGACAGTAAGGACATTTATAACGTTATGAAAGATTTCGGTTTTAAATAAATGCTGTTCGTTTGAACTCGCTGTTCATAGTTTCAGATTCCACCAAAATTTTAAACAGCACAGCTGTTTTTAACATTGATAAGAAATCAGAAAATCAGCATATTAGAATGATTTCTGAAGGATCATGTGACACTGAAGACTGGAGTAATGATGCTGAAAATTCAGCTTTGATCACAGGAATAAATTAAACTTTACAGTATATTAAAATAAAAAAAAGTTATTTTCAATTGTAATAATATTTCATAATATTAGTGTCTTTACTGTATTTTTGATCATATAAATGCAGCCTTGGTGAGCATAAGAGACTTTAAAACGTGATATGATTTTTTATGAGTTCAAAAGAACAGCATTTATTTGAAATAGAACTCTTTTGTAATATTATAAATGTCTTTACTTTCTTTTTTAATCAATTTAATGCATCCTTACTACACTGAACAAAATTATAAACGCAACACTAAAAGTGTTAATTTTTCCAAAAAGACTGACCCCAAAACTTTGAATGGTATGTATATGACCGTCCAATTCATCGAATATAAGATGCATAGCAGAATATAGCTATAAAAACAAAAAGTTTTCATATGGGTATAAATATCCAGCACTTTTAAGCTATTCTTATTCATTTGTGACCGTGTACAGAGCTTTCGATCCTGCCACTTTACACTATAACGAACACCAGTACCGTATTTTGGCATGTAATAAGATTATCAGTATGACTTGTATCTAATTATCATTATCATATTATTATGTCCTCTATCTAAACTTACTCTGCTTTACTGCTTCTGGTATCTTTTACATAGCGCTGCACATAACTTTACACAAGGCGGCTATTATACAGCACTGCTGCCACATTCAAGATCATCTTCAAAGGATGAAAGCTAAGAACATACCCCATAAATTGTGTTGAAAAGTGTGAAACTGTGTGTGTGCACATTTTTGAAGGGTCTTAGAGGTCTTTGGCTTGTTTCCTCCACCTCCTAATTACTGAAGCAAATATGCGTTAGAGGGACCGGCACATCGGCACATCAACTAATCTTTATCATGTGTCCTCCATTGCCAACAGGCCCCTGGAATTTATTTTCACATCAATCCATTCCGCTCGGAGACGAGATATGAAGTGACCTATTCTTCTATCTATATCCGTTCTTCACACCTCTTATGTAACAGGAAGGATTGTATTCAATACCATAAAAAGGAAATTTCTTTCAGCTTTGCCTTCCTGCTTGAAATGAAACTCAGAGCGGCTTAAACTTAAACTTTGGGCACGTGTACGTGGCGCATCAAGTCTCCTATGCTGCTCCCTCTGAGCATAAAGAAACCTCTGTCCCTTTATTTTGGCTGAGCGTTTGTCTAATATATCACCACTCTCCCATCATTCCACGCCGATCAGCCTTCTGCTCCAATCAGTGAAAGGATCTGGCCTGTGATTGACAGCTCCTTTACAGCTCTGAGAAAGGCCCTTTAAGGTCCGAGAGGCCAGTGCCTGGGCAGAGAAGATGAGAAAAGTATGAAAACTATGTCTGTACTCATTGTTCACAGGGACTTTTGTGTTCAGGGGCCAATTAGTGCGTCAAGGTAGAGCACGGTAGAGTAGACAGACTTTGCAAAGAGGTTTGTACACACGCGTACACACCTCACGCACTGGATGCCTGCGCGCGCCCAAAGACAGTTGGACATAGTGGTGTATTAGAGGTCAAATATGATATAAATACTGTTCGGTTTCTGGCACAAACCGATCATTTCGTGTCTTAGGACATCAATGTGTCGTCACGAGCCGCAGGGTTTAATTTGGTCACAAAAATAAATTACATTTTAAAATATATTCAAATAGAAACAGTTCTTTTAAACGGCAATATTTCACAATATTACTGTTTTTACTTTTGATCAAATAAATGCAGCCTTGGTGAGCATACTTCTTTCGAAAACACAAAAAAAAGTCACTGACCCCAAACATTTTTTAACGGAAGGATTACAGTGATTTTATGACTGTACCACTGTAAAATCACTTTAATATACAGCCTCGTGAGGCTTTATGCTCATTAACAGCAACTTTCCTCAGCAGGTAACTTAAGTTATGTGAAAAAGACGTCCTAACTCATTCTTGTGCACCAACTGGCCTGATATGATACAATTAGGTCTTCTAATCTTCATTTATCAGCTGTGACAGGTATGCATGACCCAAATTCACTTAGATGACCACCATCAAGATGTGACTTAGCCAAGCTGACATGTATAGTGACCGATTCCAGATGTCTGGCAGATTTTTCAAACAGACTAGGTGACTAGACAGCGAAGAATGAGGCTTATTTGCCAGACCAACAAGAAAGAGGCATTAACCAAGACCTAGAAAGCCTTAAAAGGTCATTTCCACTCTGTTGGCATTTCAGTGTACACTTTAAAGCCTTTTAGAGGACACTTGAATGAAGTAATGCTTGGCCTTTGGTAAAGATGCGATTAAAAGTGAACATTTATTAAATCCAGTACATTTATTTGACATCACATGGCTCTCTAAGTAAAACGGAGTTTGTGAGCTCTCTGTTGTGACTGCATGAGAACCTGGAAACAGTCCATTCTAGAAAGCCCTTCTGCCTCTGCAGGACGTCTGTAATGATGCCTGACTTGAAGGGGAACCAGGTGACCTTGCATCCTTCCGCCAGCCGGAACAGAATCGCTCCCTAGTACAGCAATCTCACAAATGTTCCATGTTGTCAGAATGCCTTAAATCCAAGTGGATCAAAAACATGGGCGAAAAGCCCAGAACTTTGTAGAGAACACCACTTTGTTCATGCAGAATGAGAACATTTTCCAGCATCCTCAGCATCAGGGTTTGTTAAAGAGCGTACCTGGTGTAAATGTCAGCATTGTCATGTAATCATGACAAGAGCTTTCTGTTTTGTAGCTCAGGTGAGGTAATGGAGAGCCCATTTAATTAAGTGTCAGGTGTTTCTTCTAGATGTCACAGATGTCAATTTCCGAGGAGAAATAAAGAAATGAGACAGTTGTTAAAGCTACACTAAGTAACTTTTTTGATAATGATCTTTAGTTTTGTTTTGTTTTTCACTTTTTGCCTTAGTTGTCTGGCGGATTTCCCGGGAAACTGCATATTGCACTTTAATCATTCGACAGTGCGTTTATGTCATATTCATAAATAAAGAAAAGAAGGGCAGATTACTATTTTATGCAGTGGAATGAAGTGTTTGAAAGCAAAAAGGATAAGCGACAATACCCGTAATAAAACATGAATCAACAGTTTATATAGCTGCACATTTGCCATGCACTGACTACGTTACAAAACAATGTGTTTGTTGGTGACAGTGTCATTCTCTAAACCAGTAACTACATTGGTCTGTTTGCCTATAAATAGCCTTGAAATTGTATAGTTCTGGTTCACACCTTTATCTGATATGAATAGCAATCTTTCTGTTAAATGTAAGCGTTGCCAAAGTTGTGTAACAAACTGATTATAGTAGGTCTAAACAACAACGGAAAATAAGCTACTTACCTGGTCATAAGACAATTTTCAGATTCTTTAATTTTTTTCCTTCTTTGATTATTGGGAGAATTTTGGTGTCGTTATCTGGAAACATTAGCAGTGAGCACAGCTGTGACTCAAGCCATCAGATTCATCCGCGCAGAATAGTGGAGCCGAAGCACAAAACAATGTTCCTCCGCGAGTAACTTGTAGTTTTATGTTTCAGCCGCTAGATGGACAAAAGTTACATAGCGAGGCTTTAGATTATAGTAGGTCTAAACAACAACGGAAAATAAGCTACTTACCTGGTCATAAGACAATTTTCAGATTCTTTAATTTTCTTCCTTCTTTGATTATTGGGAGAATTTTGGTGTCGTTATCTGGAAACATTAGCAGTGAGCATAGCTGTGACTCAAGCCATCAGATTCATCCGCGCAGAATAGTGGAGCCGAAGCACAACTCACCAAACTACCAAAACAATGTTCCTCCGCGAGTAACTTGTAGTTTTATGTTTCAGCCGCTAGATGGACAAAAGTTACATAGCGAGGCTTTAACGTACAGAAAAAAAGCCACTGTATTAAAATCAGTGTGTATATCAGTGAAGATTCTTTAGCCTTGGAAGAATTTGATGGGAAATATTCTTATTGAGATGTCTGATTTTGACTGCAAACTTGGTCTGATATTTTCTGG